TTGAAGGGGAGAGAGAGGGAAGCACGAACTCACTAAGACTTTTTCATTTGATGGAGAGGATGAGGAATCATGCCATTTGTATGCCAAGCCCCTAGCTGAGAAGATTAAGTTCATTAAGGGCGGAGTCAAAGATGGATCCTTCTCAAGTCTTTAGAGATGTAGGCGTTTTTGGTAGATCGATCAACTCATAGTGCACCTGTGGTAAGATGTATTGCCAAGAACTGCTCAATGGTCACTTAAACATTAGTACAATCATGGTTAGATCCAAGATAAGGTCATGATTCTCGACAAAAATTTTGACTCAATAAAAACGACTCGATAAAAGGGAAAAAATGCAAATGAAAATGCCAAAATGAACAAACATTGTTAGTAATCCCCCCAGACTTAACTTGCACCGTCCCGGTGAAATCAAATCGGATTAAGAGAGGCATAACATGAAGTTCAAATGAAAAATTGAAAAGAAAAAGGTTTAGGATGATGTTACCAAATTGTCGACCAATTTATAATGAAGATCAGTTCTGGTTTGGGTCATTCTACACTTCTTTAGGCAATATTGGTCGGTGAGTTTTTAATTTCAGGCCTTGGTTTCCGCCGGTTTGTGTTTTGGCCGAGATTGGTATATTCGGTCGGCCAAAATGTGGTGCTGTGAACTACAGAACAAACCGTCAAAAATTTCATGACCTATATTGAAATTTCATCGACCAACCTGGTATTTTAGAGCCTCTGGTGAAGTTTGGGAGCATTTGTACGAGCGGATTGAGACTTCCTTCACAAAATGGTCAAGTCGGCTCCGGGAAGGAGTTTCCTTGGCCATGTGAAGTTTGGCTCGTTCCTTTTCGTTTCTTCCTGCATAAAAGTGTTAGTTAAGCTCAAAGAAGAGTTTTCCAACCGGTTGGCGCGCCTATGCCGTGATTTGGTTTTGTCGGCCATATTGCTTGCGCGCCATCGGCCAGAATGAGCTCCGTCGTCTATCTCATGATCCGTGATGATTTCTCCGTCCTATCTTTTTTTGAATTTTGGTCGCCTGTGAAGTTTGGTGGACTTTGGTCACGCCGTTTAGGAGTTGGCCGTAATTGGTCTCCTTGTGCGCGGTATGGCCGAGAGAAATGTCCTGGATTGAATTTCTTCGAATCCACTCGGGCCAATTGAGATTTTCTTCGACCGAATTGTTTTAATAACCCTCCTGTGTCATTCCCAAGTGGTGGCCGCCTTGTTTCGTGTGATGGCCTTGTATCTCCTTTTAACCTCCCTTTGGCCGCCATATGCATGTTGGTTTTGAGGTTGGTTATAGGTTTGCTCTATTTCTCCTTCCTGTCAAATGGTTAACTCCTTGCAAAACACTTGAAATCATGATTAGATGGTTTCTCAGATTGTGATCCTCAAGTGACCAACTTGAAGTTCACAATCCAAGAGATTAAAGCACAAACTATAAATTCTTATTTGGTCTTGGTCAATGATCCAAATTTCAAACTATAGTTCAATCTCTTGTAATTTCAGTGAGCAGAATGAGTGGTGACAAGTGATTATGTATTCTTTCCAATCATCAAAAGTAAATCAAGTTAAACCATGAGATATATTTGATAAAGTGCAATGGTTTAAACGATTTTTCAAGTGAAGATCAAGAGTGATTAGAAATGAATACTAGGTGAGAATTTACTTACCTTTTGGAAGAGAAACGCCTTGTACAAGGGTGGGCTCATTGGGTGGGACACTTCCATTGTTTGGTCTCCTTTGGGTCTTCATCCTAAGAAAATATTTTTGTATTTTTGTTTGATTTTTGAAAAACTCCTGCAAAATAGAAATAATAGTTAAAAACCATATGGGTTGCCTCCCATAAAGCGCTTTTGTTTTAAGTCATTTAGCTTGACTCCTTTTCTTTCTTTCAATCGTGGTGAAGAGTGGCTGAAGGGCAAAGGATCCCTTTAGCTTCTCCATTCTCCGGTGTAGTGGATTCTTGTGGTGGTGTTGTCGCGCCATAGTCATCTCTCACATCATCTTTGAAAACCAATGCCTTGGGGAAAAGCTTCATAGTTCTCTCAAGCTTCTCTTCAATGGATTGGTCACCTTTAAGCTCCGAATCTTTTGGTGTAAAGATTCTTATCTTGTGAAAGAGATTAGGTGCACCATTAGTCTCCTCTTCAGCTCCATATTCAAAGGTTGGAAGTGAGATGGAGTTGATGTCCTTAAAGACATTTTCATGCCTCGGCTCCAATGTTTTCTTCTTCTCCTTTGGTTTTGGGTAGCGCTCACTCTCTCTTCTTTCTCCATGCATCACGGCTTCTTTCTTAGGCGTGAGAGTGGCTTCTTCTGGTGGTAGCTTGGTCGCACTTGGCACTGACCTGAAATTTACACTTGGGAAAAAGATATCTTGCCGGATGTGGCCAAAAGATAGATGATTCCCAAAGTAGTTTAGGACCGCTCCAGCTGTAGCAAGGAATGGGGTTCCAAGAATCAGTTGATTCCTCTTTGAGCCTTCCCAAATCATGACTTGAAAGTCAGTTGGGACCGATCGACCCCCTATTTCCATCATGACATCTTCAAGCATTCCATAGGGTTCCATGCACGATAGATCCGCGAACTCGACTCTTATCTTGGGGCTCTTGAATTCCTTGAATCCCAAATCTTTTGCAAGTGCAAGAGACATTAGATTAACATTAGCACCAGTATCACATAGGCAATCGTGGAGTTGAATGCCATTGATACTTGAAGTTATCACAAACTTCCCCGGATCTTCTTGTTTTTGTAGTGGCTTGCCTTCAAGTCTTCTCTTGTAAGCTCTTCTTGATTCCCAACTGTATCTCTCCGGTTTGTGCCTCTCCTTAGGCTCATTTTCTTCTTCTTCCCCTTGAGATAGTGTAGGAACAATTGTGCCATCTATAGATGAGACAACACTACAAAATTTTTGAGTGTTTACCTCATTTTGTTTCTTGGCCGCCTCGGCTGTTTGAGCGATTTGCACCTCAAGCTTTTGAACGTGAGTAGAGAGAGACCCAAACTTGCTGCTTAGATCACCAAACATGTGATCAAGCTTCTCATATAGGTTCTTGGTGATCAATCTCTGCTCCTCCATGTATTTCTTCAACGCCACGTCAACCTTCTCTCCGGTTTGGGTTGGATTTGTTTCTTGAGAAAAAGTGAATGGTTGCTTCACTTGGTACATCCCTCTTGGATAGACTTGTTGTGGCTTGGATTGGTATTGGCCTCCTTGATACGCTCCTTGATTGGGGTAGACTTGGTCATTTGGATTCTCCACATTGTTGCTCCGGTATGATAGGTTTGGATGCGCGCGAAATGGTGGATTGAATCCTCTATTCCCATAGTTTCCTCCAATGTAGTTGACTTCCTCTAGATTCTCTTCAGTGCCATCTCTCATGAAATCCATAAGAGTGTCTTCATTTGTGGCTAGGGCATCTTCAATGGCGTGAACTCCTTGTCGGCTTTTAAGTAGTTGTGAAACCATGTTCCTTAGCTCCGAGATTTGAGCTGATTCTGATGAGCTCGTGGTCTTCACGCTTCTATTGTAGTCAGGGCATGCATTGGCATCACTAGCAGCGAGATTCTCAATCAAAAGCTTTGCCTCCGGCACCGACTTGGTCATGAAATTACCATTGCTCGCGGTATCGAGAGAAAGCTTGTATTTATGATCAATCCCATTGTAAAAGATGTTCCAAAGGTTACCTTCTGAAAAGCCATGGTTAGGGCAGCTTCTTGTGTACTCCTTGAATCTCTCCAAAGCTTCATAGAATGACTCCATTGAATCTTGCTTGAAACCAGAAATCTTGCTCCTTATAGAGTTGGATCTTTGCTTAGTGTAGAATTGGTTCAAGAAAGCTCCCTTGTATTCATTCCATGTTGTAATGGACTGAGGTGGTAAAGATTTTACCCATCTTAGCGCCTTGTCACTTAGAGAAAAAGTGAATAGCTTGCACTTGAAGTAATCCGGCGATACTCCATTAACACGAGTTGTGCTACATATCTCCTCAAAGGTGTCGACGTGATCAAGAGGATGCTCAGTGGGCAAACCATGGAATTGGTTTTGCTTCACCAAGGCAATGATCTGCGGTTTGATCTCAAAATCGTTCCTTGGAGGTAGAGGCGGTCGGATTGGATTCCGATCCATAAAGAAAGCATCGGACGAATCAAAGTCTCCCATAGTTTGGTGCCTTGGATGCTGCGCGTTTGGCACTCTCCTTGGAGGTGCGTGAGGTTGGTCTTGAGGCATCCCTTGGTTGTCACCGTGACGATGATGTCCATTTGCAAACGCCGGTGGTGGTCGCGGCGGGTTAAGAGGTGGCTGTAGCGGCTCAGCTGCATCGGGCGCGTTCGGATTGGGTGGAGGAACGTCTCTGGCCGGTGCTGGCTGGTCAGCTCTAGCTTCTGCTGGATTAGGAGGATCATTGGCTCTCCTCTCTTGGTCGGGCGGGTTGTGTGGCCTATTTGGCGCGCCTTCTCCGCCTGGATTCATTCTTTCTCTCCTTAGTCGCCTAAGTGTGCGCTCAAGTTGGTCAATGTCAAGATCTTCTTCAATGGTTGTATTTGGATTGGACCTTCTTGTCATGCACCTTAGAAACACACAAAGAGAAGAGTTAAGTAAAATTTTTATGATTTTTAAGATTTTATGAAAAACAAAAACAAAGAAAAGTGAAAGATGAGATGAGCTAGTCTTGAAATCAATCAAGAGGTGTGAAGGAAAAGCAACTCCTCCCCGGCAACGGCGCCAGAAAGCTTGATGGCGGGTTTAGATTGCCTCAAATTTTCACAATTTATAAACCCAACTAATGAGCTGCAAGTGCACAGCCGTGTTGTAGTCGGGGTCGAACACGAGGAGGAAGTGTTCTCACTTAACACCTTGTGAGATTGGTTTGTAGCTAGCTCGCAATATGAGGTGGTTTTGGACCTAGAATGAGAAAAAAAACAAAAGAAATGTGAGTGAGTTTGTAAACAATTTAAAACAAGAGTTAGGCAAAGGACAATCATATGGAGCAATGATGAAAAGATAGTTGCATGGGATGTGTGTAGAGCCGTCTTGAACATGAATCACTAGTGTATGGTCTTTCCACTGTCGTGGCTCCAACCACTATGTTTAAAACAACCTAATATACTCAGCTTTCGTTGGCTATTAGAATTGCAAACATGCATTACAAGGTTCAAGATTCAATTGTTCACAATAAACCATAACTCAGCTTTCGTTGGCTATGATCTATTGCTCACCAAATACTAGTTTTGAGATCTAGATTCAGCACTGTCGTGGTTCTATTTCTCTAAGATCAGATTACTAGATGTACGGTAGAGTAATCATGCATTAAGCTCAAGTAAAGGTGAAGATCCATAAGATAAATCCCAATAAGTTGCAACACAATCAAATCATCACGGCCACCATAGATCTCCTCGGCCTAACTAAGAGATCTACTCGGCCATGATGCAAACAAGCAAGCAAAGCATGATTGTAAACATTATGCAAGTATTAAAAGAGATAAAGGGATGAAGAAAGCTTCTCTATTGATGAACAAAGTCGGATTCTCCCTTGAAAACTCTTAAGATCAAGTTTATAGAAATGGAAACAATGAAAAAGAAAGAACAAGAGTTGAGCGGCGCCTCCTTCTTCTTGGACGATCTCCTAGGGCTTCTCTTCTCTCTCTCTCTTCTCACACGTAACTCTTTGATAATTTTCGGACTCTCGATCTCTCTTCTTCAGCGGCTAAAAACATGTATATATGGGCGAAGTCGCGTAGGGTTTTCTTCATGCCGGAAAAGGAAAGTTTCCCGCGAGCCTTCTTCTCCACGTCGTGTATGGGCCGACATTGTACCAAGGAAAGCTCCAAACATTAGCCAGGCCTCTTCTCTATTCGATCAAGGCCTTTGGCGCTGCTGCTCGGGCCATTAGACACTCCAAATCCTCCATGGGCTTCGTTTGCTCGCTTACCGGACATGTCTCGGTAGAAAATAAGTCTAGGCCTCATAGTTGATCCAAATGGCTTCATTCCACTTCGACGTGATGCATGACTCAAGTATCTATCTTTCCATATCAAGATCGTAACTTTTGGACGTCGGGAACTCCTCCGCGCGCGGCCAAACTTCCGAAGCTTCGTTCTGCGCGCAAGCGAGAACTAACACTTGGAGATAAAATGATCTTCTTGACTTGGAAACTTGCATGGATCTTGATTTAGGGCTCTTTTACTCCTTTTTGCATCCTTTTTGATTATTTCACCTACAAAGACTTCAAATCCCACAAATACAAGAAAACTACCTCTAAAGGCAAAGAATCTTGCAAAAACCGTTTGAAAACATAGGTAAATTATATAGTAAAATCATGTAAAATATGGTGATATCAAGAACCAAGAAGAGGAATGACCCTATAAGTAGTGAGAGTGAGCAAGGGGAGTTTGAGATGGAGTGAACCTTGTTCAAGAGGGGGAAATGGCTCTCCAAATGAGGAAGGCAGTGAGGAAACTGAGAGTGATGAGGAAGGAGAAGAGGTGAACCAATTGGTTGATGAAGATGACCAAGAGGGGAACCAAGATGAGCCAATGGAAGAGGCTGAGGAAGACCAAGAGCACTACAATGCTCTCTTCTCCATGGACTTCGTGGAGACCAAGTACCCACACGATGACACCATGAGAGATCTTGGTATCTTTGAGGATGTGGAGTTGGTGCTCAAGAACATGCAATTGGGGAAGTTCTTCTCTCACCGCATGGAGTCTTACAAGGAGTCACTTGTGAGTTTTTGGCGTCGATGAGCATCACAGTTTGATGAGCTCGATCGAGCTGAGTTGGACCAAGGCTGGGGGTACATAACTTTCTAGCAAAGGGAGAGAAGAAGATGGTGACCTTTAGGCAGCTTGAGATACTGTTTGGGTTCACTATGGAGAAGGTAACCTGTGGAACATCAAGGAAGAAGAACTCCAAAGAGTATGGGCTACAATAGCTGAAGAGGGGTACTCTTCCTCAAGGTCCAAGGCTGCCAGATCAGGAGTCCTGTGCTTAGATATGTCCACAAGGCTCTTGCAACACCTTCTTTGCAAGGAAAGCCACTGGACAATCAATGAGGGAGAGTGAAGCTCCTTGACATGGGAATCAAGCCTATCATCTCACGCACAAGGATGGGAAGAAGATCAGAGGAGATAGGGCACACGCAGGGAATCTCATGCCTCTCCTTGAGCAGCTCCAAGCCTACAAGGTCACAGCTTACAACACTAGGCACCAAAGAGGAAGAAAGCTTAGTGTTGGAGGGGTCATCACACCAATTCTTTGTGCAGCTGGAGTCAAGTGGACAAGAGAAGGCTACTCCACCAGGTTGGATGGACATCAAGTTTTGCAAGACCAACCTCCTCATTGAGCACAAGGAGTTGGATGGGAGATTCCAATTCAAGTTCACACCCATTGGCTGGACTCTCCAAGCTTCTCCTGCCCAACCCTGAGCTCACCACAGTCCTAGGGGTGAGAACATTGACTTCAGACCCCCTGTGTACACTTTAGTTGGGCATGAAGCGGATTTGCAAGAAGAAGAGATCGAGCTCGATCGAGCTGAGGATCGAGCTGAGATCAAGCTGAAGATGGAGTCCAGGAAAGCGCTGACTTGGGTGAGCCTGAGTGCTATTACTTTGAGGAGTATGAGGCTCCAAGGATGAACCCCTCTGTTGTGGCTGCTCACAAGAGGATTGGACTTCTCCAAAAGTTCAACAAATGGCAAGGGAAAGCCATGAGAAGATGCAAAAGTCCATGGACAAGATGGTGAGCAAGATCAAGAGTTTGGAGAAGAAGGTTTCTGGTTCTTCAAGCAAGAAGAAGAAGTCCAAGGCTCCCACTTTCCCTAGGAGTAGGTCACTCCTCACCACTCCAAGGAGGCTCCCTGCCCAAGAGCCTCACAGAGCCTCTTCTTTCGAGCCAAGGGAAGGAGAAGACAACACGCAGAGAAGGAGGAAGACTTCCAAGGCCAGACGCTCCAGCTCGACCACCGGACTCGATCGAGTCCAAACAGAGGAAACTCAACTCGATCGAGCTGACGGTCGAGCTGACCTGGAGGAGCCCCAGTTCGAGGATCCGGATTTGAATACGATCCCAGCCTTACCAGGACTCCCCGGAGTAGATGGAACCCCTATGGACAGTACGAGCTACCAATGCTCCACCAAGGCCAAGGAAGCCACACACTTTCAAGATGAAGAAGAGGAGGAAGAGGAGCCACAAGCTCGATCGAGTGAGCCACAAGAGGCAACCCCAGTTGCATGGAGTGCTCCTGATGGCCGTCTCCCATCTCCAGACCACGACCTAGTCTCCCAGTTCTTTGGGGGACACTGAGGTATCCAAACACCAACCCTTGTATATACCATTTCATATTTTCTTGCATTTGTTCTTGTTTTTTCTTGGTTTTGCCCTCTTGAATCTTTCACTGAATTTTTCTCACACAAGGGACTGTGTGATTTAAGTTTGGGGGAGGGTTCAAGAGATGATTTAACCTTGTTTTCTTTGTTCTTAGTTTTTCATTTATCTTTTGCATAGAAAAACCAAAAAAATCATAAAATTTTCAAAAAATCCAAAAATATTTTCATCTTTTTGCATTCATATTTGTTAGACTTGTTTAGGATTGCATTTTTCACTTGCATTGTTGATTTGACTTTGAAAACTTGTCCATCTTTTGCGATTTCTTGAGTGCCCTGTTTTTAGATTCTTTTGTGCATTAGGGTGAGATTGATTGAGCAGCAAGAACCATGTTTATCTTGATCATATCGCTGCATGCACATCTCATTCAACCATTGCTGTGATTTGATGCATTTCCCTATCTATTTGAACCATAACTTGATCTTTAATTACCAATGCTTGCATTTGATTTCAACTCATGGCTACCACATACATATCTGGACATTCTTTACCTATTTTCATATCCCTTTGCTTGTCCAGATAGCTGATCTCTATCTTTGAGACAGTTACCACACCTTAAACCTAAGCCTTTTCATTTCAAACCCCATATTATCTCTTGTGCGAATGTGAGAACCTTTCTTGGCTTTGCTTAGCATAAGGTGTTGTGTTTAAACCGGCAGGGGCAGTAGTTCTAGTTGTCTAGTTCTCTTGGGATTGTTTTCAGGCTAAGTTTGGGGGTGCCAACTCGAGCTCGATCGAGTTGGGTGTCAAAACCAGAAAAGTGGTAAAAGTTGGGAAAATCCAAAGAAAAGAGTTTAGTTAAGTCCAGGGAGTTGGCAGTGTTTAAAAAGGGTCTAGTAAAGGTTTGGGAAGTTAAAAAAGAAAGTAAAAAGGGTTCTAAGTAGAATGAAAAGAAGGCAAAGCCTCAAGTGTCAAAAAGAAAGAAAAGTTCCCTAAGTGTTTAGAAAATCCCAAACCGCTAGATGTTACCTCAAGAAGCCTCTCCCTAGGAAGTTCTTAAAAGAAAAGTGAGCAAAGCTCCTCAGTTTCAAAGGCGAAATGCCAAAAAGGGTAGTTAGGATTTTGTTCTAAAAAGCTCTAAGTGTTGAACTCGATCGAGTTAGGATTAGGCGGCTCGAGCTGCTGTTCTTGCATCATCTTTGGTTCTAACACTTAGCCTTCTGCCAAAGCAAAGCCACTTTCTTGAGAGATCCCTGTTACTAAACCACCATACAAAAGAGACCCTCTTTGTCTCTTAACCCATAAACCCTTGAAACCAAATGAGTTGATTGATCTTGCATGTTTTTGGTTCACTGTTTTTGCTTAATGAATGTTAAAGGGATTTGCTGATTTGAATGCATTGTTTGAGTGACTGTGAAGTGGGATTGATGTTGATAAGCATGGTTAAATCTTAATGAATATCTCTCACCTTGTTGCATTCTAGAATCTCTAAGTTGGACATTTAGCAAATCGCTTTTGAGGACATGTTTTTAAGTGTTGAATCAGCTTATTTTCAAACCTCATCTCTTTCTTGTTCTATTTGTTTGCTTGAGGGCAAGCAAAGTTCAAGTTTGGGGGTGTTGATGTACTTGCATTTTACATAGTTTTAGCACATCTTTTATGCATCTTTTGCATAGTTTTAGCTTCCATTTGCATCATATCTTGTTCCTTTTCTCTTCTTATGCATTCATGTTAGTTTTAGGTTGCATTTGCATACATATGCATGTTTGGTCCTTTGAAATAGGTCTTTTGGAGCATTCTGGAGCATATGGGACATAAGGAGCATGGAGGGACTTGGCACATGGAAGCAGCTCAACTGGATACGCAAAGGAAGAAGGGAGAAGCCATCTTGAAGACCAGCTCGACCGTCCACTCGACCGGCCAAGCTTCAACTCGATCGAGCTGGAAGTCAAAGTCAAACCCGAAAAATGTTGCTTCCCCCTTGACTTCCTTTGACCCTAAACCTAATCCTCTTTGTATTTAAAGGCTCTAAGCCACGAAAAAACCACCAAGCTTTAATTATTTTGTTTTAGTTTCTTTTAATTTATTGTCTTTTACTTTTTAGAGATCTAATCCCATCTTTGTGTTCTTGAAGCTCTTGCTTCTTGAATCTTAGATCCTGGATAATCTCTCTTGTATTTGCACTTGCTTATTTCAATAAAAGTTGTTTAATTTCATCTCCTCTTTCTTATGATGTCTCTTTTATTGCATTTGCTTGTGTTTACATTCATGTGTAGTGAGTAGTTACCCATTGGGTTTGAGATGGGATAGATTAGAGGTTTCATATGCTTAATCCTTCTAGCTTATGGTCTTAATCTAGATTCTCTCTCTTTTGGATAGATCTTAAGGCTACATGACCACTACCCCTGGCTTGTAAGTCCTTAGGCGACTCCCCACACGAAAGTGATGGCATTCGCTGGAAAAGATCCACTAAGAGCTCCAATATCTCTTGCTCTAGACAATAGAGGTCTAAGGGGTTGGATGGATTAGTTTGGGCAATGATCCTATAGCCTCCAAGGTTTGATTCTCACTGGCTAACCCCCTGTTTCTGAGATCATTCCTTGGTTGATAGCCTCCACCTTGGGAAAGGGTTGGCTAGGCATTGAGAAGCCCAATATCAAGAGAAGCCTTGATACAAGGAGTTTTAAGAGCTAGATTGATTAAGTGTAGATTCCTTTGATTGCAAAACCCTGTCTTGAACCCTAATTCTCTCTTTATCTTGTTAAAGTCGTCACCTTTAGCTTTGTTTGTCTCAACTCGTCCCTAAACTCGATCGAGCTGGTACTTTGCTCTACTCGACTCGAGCTCTTGGTCGAGCTGACACTTCACTGCTTTGTTTACTTTTATTGCACTGCTTTTCATTTTTTTAGGTTGTTAGTGTTACTTCAAATCTATAACTGCTTGCTTGACTTTCTGGTTGTTTCATATTCTCAAAGAGTGACAAGTTTCCCATTTTGGATTGATAACCTCTTATACTTCAATGACTATGATGGTTAAGAGGAATTGATTGATTGTGATTGCACCATACCATATCATCTTTATTCACCCCTGTTTGCATTCCACCTCATTTCATCTCATATTCATATCACATCCACACAAAATCCTATCATCACACGGTTAAATCTAGTTTCTATCCCCTCAAGATACATGGAGCTGAAAGTCAAACATTCTTCTGCAATAAATTGCTCACATATGGAACCTTCAGGCCTTGCTCGATTTCTAACGTAAGTTTTCAAATGTCCAAGGATCTTCTCGACTGGATACATCCATCTATATTGAACTGGTCCTCCTAATTTGACTTCTTCAGTCAAGTGAATAGTCAAGTGCACCATTACCGTTAAAAAAGAAGGTGGGAATACCATCTCTAGATGACATAAGGTGAGAGCAATATGTTCCTGCAACTTTTCCATATAACTGATATCAATTACTCTCGAGCATATTTCCCTAAAGAAATGACACAACTCCATAACAACAAATGCTACCTCTTGAGGCAACACATTACGTATAGCGATAGATAACAACTGACCCATCAATATGTGGCAATCATGACTCTTCAAACCCACCATTTTCCGTTGATTCAGATCAACACAAGCAGAAATATTCGAAGAATATCCATCTGGTAGCTTCACATTCTTCAAAATGTTAAGAAAACTATCATTTTCACAGTTGGTCATTGTGAAACACGCTAGAAGAAATCTACCATTAGCAGCAGGCCATAGTTCAGAGCATATCCCAAGTGCTTGAAGATCCTTTCGTGCATTAAGATTATCTTTGGATTTACCTTTGTCATCCAGTAAAGTAAACACTAGATTATCAAATACATTCTTCTCTATATGCATAACATCAAGGTTATGCCTCAAAAGAAGATCTTTCCAGTATGGTAACTCAAAGAAGATGCTCTTTTTTCTCCACTGATGTACTTCACTCTTTCCCGCAGCTTGTCGACCTCTCTTTTTTCCCAAAGTAACATCTACATTTTCAATTTGCTGAGAAATAGCAAAGCTTGATGGTCTGATTGGAGGAGGCCTTGATTCTATAAAACCATTGAAATGTTGCTTATCCTTTCTAAACTTATGGTCTTGAGGAAGAAAACGACGATGTCCTATGAAGCAATACTTTTTTCCATAGTTAAGATGCTTTTGAGTGGCATCAAAACTACAAGACGGACATGCTAAACCTGTATGCACATTCCAACCAGATAGATTCCCAATGCCTTTTTTTCCTTCAAAGAATCCTCATGCATGTCAGCAGATTCATCAGGTTCCATCTTGATATTTGGAGTGTCTGAATCTAAGTTCGGAGGGTCAGAATCTATGGTTGGAGAGTCTGACTTCATACTTAGGAAAATATCAGCGAGTAGATTGAAGGTAGAGCTATCTATATGATCGACCTTTGGTTGATGATCTAAACTAAAAGCTTGTGGAGTGTCCTCTAAGTCTTCACCGTGTAGATACCAGTTTGTATACGTGCAGAGAAAACCATGACACATCAAATCTCCTTCAATCTCAACTCTGGACTTGTATTTGGCAAGGGAACAACGTTGACATGGACATTTCAACATGTCTGCCTTGATCTTCCCAAAGGCAAAATCTAAAAACCCCTTGTTATCATGGATAATATAATCAATGGTCAAACGAGATTTTGTTATCCATGACTTATCCATATCCACCTAAAAACTCAAATCAAACACACAAACTTATCACTTGCTAGATAAAAGTGAAACTCACTAGATAAGGGTGAAACTCACTTATGTGAGTTTCAAAGATAGTTTCAAAAACGTTTATAGGATTTGACTATCTTAACTAAGAAACAAGCCATAATCATAAGCATCAACGCATATAAAAGGAGTTAAACAGAAGCCATAATCATCAATGCATTCATGTGATAGCATTCATCTATGGAATCAATCATTTAAACAAGCAGAAACATGAATTTTTACCTATGATAGCACTCACGAAGCACAATACAAAATTAAGATTGACCATGAAAACCAAATTTAAGATTTGACCCTTGATAGCATTCATCTATAGAAAAGGTAAGCTTGAACAAGCATTCGTCTCAAACAACCTATGATACACTCACGAAGCTAATTCCCAGAAAAAAAAAGAGAGAGTAAAATCAAGCTAATGAAGAGATACAATACCTCGAAGAAGAAGCTTGTGATGTTCGATTCGATTCTCAAGCTAGTAATGTTCGATTTTCTCCCCCAGAAACTTGAATAAACCTTCAATTCCCAAAAATTTAGATGTTAGATGCTTCAATTTCGAGCTTGAACCAATAAAATTTGACAGATCAAATTCGTACAAACCTTCAATGCCGACGATGTTGAGACCTTCAATGTCAATATCTCCTCCGATAAACAGACCCGCCGATAAGAAATTCACAGGTCTCCTCCGAACAATTTGGAGCTTCGAGAAAGAGAAAGAGTGGATCGAATCCTAACGTTTGAACAGTGAATCGAATCCTAACGTTTGAACAGTGACATTAATTTGAAATCGTAAGATCCCAATTTCTGAAGAAAGATATTAGCAAGTAATTGAAACAATTAAACAAATAAAAATAAATTAGCCTAAACTTATTTGGGCCTTCGTCTTTTGTAGCCCATATTGATTATTTTGACGTTAAAACTTAAGTCAGTTTAATAAGTGACCCTAAATTCCTTCCTTTTGAAAAACTTAACGTTGGTTTTCATAGCGACTTTAATAAAGTGACGTTATCGAGCGTGTTTCTTGTAGTGCAAACAATCGAATCATTCATTCCTGGGCTTAATTTTGGAGCTTGAACCTTTGTGTAACATCCCGGTTTGTGATTAATGAGGAGAGGCTTAAGAGAATTGATTTGGCTACCTATGTCAACAAAGTGCACTTACCTTTTCGGTCAAAGGTCTATAAGTAACTCCAGTTAAGCGTGCTTGTGCTGGAGTAGTTGAAGGATGGGTGACCTTTCGGGAAGTGGTTTCCGAAACCGTGTGAGTGAGGCCAAAACACGGGGAAAGGTCAGGTGTTGATTGCAGGGATAGTAAACAAATCATTAGAGCCTCTCGAAAATAACGGACCAGCCGTCGGACAGGGGTGAGGCCCACGGGCCGAGATGGGCCTGCGGGCCCAGAGAGAGGGCGTGGGTGACTCACCGGAAGGGGCGGTCGGGGCGTTATAATTTGGTATCAGAGCCAAACCCAGACGAGAGTGTGGAGTCAAGTTGAAGTGGCCTTGACTCGCACCGTCAGGGGGTGACGATCCAGGTGCGCAACGAGGACGTTGCGCACAGTTAGTGGGGGTGAGTTGTAACATCCCGGTTTGTGATAAATGAGGAGAGGCTTAAGAGAATTGATTTGGCTACCTATGTCAACAAAGTGCACTTACCTTTTCGGTCAAAGGTCTATAAGTAACTCCAGTTAAGCGTGCTTGTGCTGGAGTAGTTGAAGGATGGGTGACATTTCGGGAAGTGGTTTCCGAAACCGTGTGAGTGAGGCCAAAACACGGGGAAAGGTCAGGTGTTGATTGCAGAGATAGTAAACAAATCATTAGAGCCTCTCGAAAATAACAGACCGGCCGTCGGACAGGGGTGACGCCCACGGGCCGAGGTGGGTCTGCGGGCCCAGAGAGAGGGCGTGGGTGACTCACCGGGAGGGACGGTCGGGGCATTATACTTTGACGATTGTTTATTCTTTGACTTGCTGTGCGGTTAAAGGTTTATGTGTTCTGGTTATGTTAAATGTTTAGCAGAAATCAGATCACGTCTTTGCGCTTAATTTTCAGAACTTTAGCATTTTATTATAATATGAGTTTAATTTGCTTTTGTCATGTTCTGGAAATTAAGTTTGGGTTGTTGATGCAATTATTTGAGAGGCTTATTTGCATGTGTATAATATTATTATATATATTATGAGTTTCGTTGCATAATAAGTTGTCTTCCGAGAATTGTTTAGTAAAGCTGGAACTGCATGCATTAGAAAAGTTTGTTTATTCTAGACAGAATAATTGTTGGTTTATTTCTTCTGTTTCACGGTGTTGGAACAGAGCGCAGGGTGTTGGAACAATGAAAACTGTGTTTCAGAGAGAAAAGTTTGGGTATCTTGGATTGTGATTGAATCCTGTACGAAGCAGTTTCCTTAAAGAGTATTTCGACCCTATACAGTCTTGGGTTACACGAAATCCCTCGCAGGATAAGACAATCACGTCCACTCTTTGTCTAGGCTTAAGATCCAAGAGTAACAAGAAGAGATCTTGTGTGTGTTTACTTTTGTTGCTTTTGTGAATCAGATCTATCTCTGTAGATCTCGAATTTCTTCTGTGCCTTGTCTCAGAGAGACAACAGAACTTATAAAGTTCTCATAAGGCCTCAACGAAACGTTTGCAACCGTTCGTTTAATGATTGAACCAAAAGTAACTGTTCGCAACATGTTGGAACAACTTGGTTCATGTTGTAACACCTTATTCACTTAAATATCCAACATTCCTCCCCCATTTAAGTGTAATCTTTCATGGTTCAAAAAAAACCAAACCACATGCATATATATAAATGTCGTATCGATTGAATTTACATGCTGTGAATCACACGCATCTAATGACCGAGAATCAAAGTGTCCTATGGATTGAACTTATCAACTACTTTGGCCACGAGAGGGTGAAACACTCATGAGTTTCTCACTACTCGTAGTGTTTCTTGACACTATTAACAGCCATGTGTCCAATCCTCTCATGAGTGCATAGAAAGCCAAGTCCAAGCTTCTTGAAGCGGCTACACTTCACACTCACATAGCTAGATCCTTTACATCTTGCTTCTGCATTTGCAATTTTTCAAAGGATCTATTAAGAAGTCATACTTCAACCTAAACTTTCATGCAGATAATAAGCACTTCCTTTGGGATTACATAAACAATGCTACAACCTCTCAAGGAATGGGCTCACCTTGAACTCAGCTCCTATCGTTGTACTAGAAGGGAGTTGGGTGTCCCACGACTAGAGGTTTGAGATGGACTTCAAACCAATTCCTTCAGCTGACTTTATTACCAAGTCCCTAGATAGACCCTTCGTCAAGTGATCTGCTAGATTCTGCTGAGACCGAACAAACTCTAAAGTTATCACACCGTGAGTGATCAATTCACGAACAGCGCTATGTCTCACGCCAAGGTGTCTTGACTTTCCATTGTACACTTGGCTATAAGCCTTAGCCAAAGTTGCTTGACTATCACAATGGATTGAGATAGGAGACACTGGTTTCGACCACAATGGAATCTCAGGGACAAGGTTTCTCAACCACTCAGCCTCTCTACCAGCAGCTGCAAAAGCCACAAATTCAGATTCCATAGTCGAACTTGTGATACAAGTTTGTTTCTTAGATGCCCAAGAAATGGCACCTCCCCCAAGTAGGAACACCCAACCATTGTAGAAGTGTGATCTTCCACGTTGGTGATCCAACTTGCATCAGAATAACCTTCCAAAACCGAAGGAAATCCTCCATAACACAAACCATAGTCCATGGTTCCTCTCAAGTACTTGAGCACACGCTTTACAGCCTGCCAATGGTGAGTACTAGGATTACTAGTGTATCTACTCAATCTTCCAACTGCATATGCAATATTTGGCCTTGTGCTTGTCATTGCATACATTAAGCATCCAATCACTTGAGAATACTCGTGTTGCAACACAGCCTTTCCTGTGTTAGGCATAAGTTTCACACTTGCCTCCATGGGAGTACTTACAAGGGGCACTTCAAATAATTGAACCTTTTTAACACTTTCTCAACGTAGTGAGATTGTGATAAACATATCCTCCCATTGTCACGCTTGATTCTAATACCAAGAATCACATCCGCCTCCCCCATGTCCTTCATGGCGAAATTTGATGACAAAAACTCTTTTGTGAGTTCCACTAATCTAAGGTTGGTACCAAAGATCAACATGTCATCCACATATAGACAAATGATCACTCCATTACTGGAATCATCAAACTTGCTATATAAACACTTATCTGATTGGTTAATCTTAAAACCAAAAGACAAGACAGCTTCATCAAATCTTTGATGCCATTGCTTAGGAGCTTGTTTCAGCCCATACAGTGATTTCACCAGCTTGCACACCTTGTGCTCACTTCCAGGCACAACAAATCCCTCTGGTTGTTCCATATACACCTCTTCTTCCAAGACACCATTTAAAAATGCAGTCTTAACATCCATTTGATGGATCACAAGATCATGAATGGCTGCTAAACCAATCAAGAACCTTATAGAAGAGATTCTGACAACAGGAGCATATGTATCAAAATAATCAATGCCTTCCCTTTGTCTAAAACCTTGTATAACCAATCGAGCTTTGAACTTATCGATTGCACCACCGATCAACATTTTCTTTGTGAAAATCCACTTGCAGCCTAAAGCTTTGCAACCAGGTGGGAGATCAGTCAGGAAGTATGTATTGCTTCCTACTATAGAGTCCATCTCATCATTTACAGCTTCTTTCCAGAAAGCAGCATCAATGGAAGCCATAGCTTCACTGAATGTCCTAGGTTCATCACCAACTAGGTAACAATATGAGTATTGTAGAACAATCTCATCTCTTGAACCTTCTACCAAATAAATTTGGAATTCAGGACCAAATGATTTCTCAATCCTTCCTCTCTTACTTCTACGAAGTACAGGTGACTCGCTGGTTGTTGGAACACAAGCCGAGATGTTGGAACGTACATTTGTACCATCTCCTTGTCCAGTTCCAAACGAAACCAGATCCTTTGGTCTAGGTATTGATGTGAAACGATTCTCATCAAATATTGCATCTCTTGACTCAATCACAGTGTGAACTGCTATAGAATCATTAGGTTCAATGACATAGAACCTATAAGCCTTGGAATGCTCAGCATAACCAATAAAGATGCAATCAATACCTCTTTCTCCCAAAGTTCTTATCTTTGGTTGGGGTAGTCTACTACAGCCCTACAGCCCCAAACTCGAAGGTAGTTCAAGTTAGGCTTCTTCTTGTACCAAAGTTCATATAAGGTTATCTTGTTCCTCTTGTTAGGAACTCTGTTCAACAAGTAACATGCTGTTAACATGCCCTCACCCCAGAAACCGTCACTCAATCCATAATAGGATAACATGGAATTAACCATTTCTTTAAGGACTCTGTTCTTCCTCTCAGATACACCATTTTGTTGTGGTGTATAAGGAGCTGTGACCTCATGTATTATACCCACAGACTGAAAGTAAGCAGGATCATAATACTCACCACCTCTATCGGTGCATAACTTTTTAATCAAGTTACTCTGTTGCAATTCAACCTCAGTTTTGTAAACCTTGAATTTCTCTAAGGCCTCATCCTTAGAGTGCAACAAATATACAGAACAATATCTGGAATAGTCATCAATGAATGTGACAAAATATTTCTTATTCCCCAGAGATGGTGTAGCATGCAAATCACATAAATCACTATGAATCAGTCCAAGGACTTCCGATACCCTAACAATGCTATCAAACTTCTTCCTAGTTATCTTAGTCAACATACATGTTCTGCATTTCTCTACATTCATGTCAAAACCAGGAATTAAACCTTCCTTCCACATTTCAAGCATCCTAGCATAATGTACATGACCTAATCTCATATGCCATAAGAAACTATCATTTCCGACTGTTGTTGGAACATGCGGATCTATTTTGGAACATGTTAAGTAACTAACCGATAACTTAATCGAAGCAAACTACGCCAGTCACTAACCATATCATTCCACGGTTGTGATCATACCTTAGCCAATTTGCAGATTTCGGTCCTCCAATGTGGTGGGCATCAACATGCTTTGAACAGTCACTATATCAAGGTTGTGAGAAGAAAGTGCATCTTCTTCTGCCATCTTCTGAAATCGACTCCTTTAAACTTGTCTAACTTCCCAAAGTTGGTTGTCAACTCACGCACAGAAACACCAACCATCGTTCTCAGAAAATACTCTTTAAGATTGTTGGTTTATTTCCTCTGTTTCGCGGTGTTGGAACAGAGCGCAGGGTATTGGAACAATGAAAACTGTGTTTCAGAGAGAAAAGTTTGGGTATCTTGGATTGTGATTGAATCCTGTATGAAGCAGTTTCCTTAAAGAGTATTTCGACCCTATACAGCCTTGGGTTACACGAAATCCCTCGCAGGATAAGACAATCACGACCCTATACAGCCTTGGGTTCATTTTGATTGCATGTGCCCCTAATGGGTTTATTCTTGAGTAATTGCTTTCATATCATTCTCCTGTTTAAGTTGTTGTTTTTTCCTCACCTCTGTTTTGCCTTTAGAACTTGTTGCATGTGCTTGAAAATTGAATTTGAGTTTGGTATTGGTTAAGATGCTTGTTTTCACTAGAATTGCTCATTGTTCCATTTACTAGTTGTTCTTGGTTCAATTTGATTGATTAGCATCCTTTCCAGCTCTTAATCTTGAATTAGGTTTGGTTATACTCTGTTTTCACAGCTCGATCGAGTTTGTCACTCGAGTTTTTTGACTCGATCGAGCTGAGTGTCGAGTTGACCAAACCGATCATTACAACTCTAATTCTTTGTAATCTTTGATGCATTTCAGGTACTTTAGTGAAGAAACAGTGTAACAAGGATGACAAACAGTGAGGGAAGTCGCGCTTCACAGAGGAGAATGGTTGAGGGTGAATCAAGCAATGCAAGGGAGAGAAGGCTTAAGATGCAAGCCGATTTGGAGAGATGATCAAGGATGGAAGAGTCTGATGCAGAGGAGTATGTGTACTCTGAGGAAGAGTCTGAGAGTGAGAGATTGAGGGAGGAAAGGAGACCAAGAAGAGGAATGACCCATTAGTAGTGAGAGTGAGCAAGGGGAGTTTGAGATTGGAGTGAACCTTGTTCAAGAGGAGGGAAATGGCTCTCCAAGTGAAGAAGGAAGTGATGAGACTGAGAGTGAAGAGGAAGGAGAAGAGGTGAATCATTGGTTGAAGAGAGTGCAAGAGAGTAACCAAGATGAACCTATGGAGGAGGTTGAGCAAGAGAGCCCAAGAGGAGGAGAAGAACTCCCATGTACCAAGAGCACTACAATGCTCTCTTCTCCATGGACTTTGTGGAGACCAAGTACCCACATGTTGACACATGAAGGCCCTTGGAATCTTTGAGGATGTGGAGTTGGTCTCAAGAACATGCACTTGGAAGTTCTTCTCTCACCACATGGAATCTACAAGGAGCTCACTTGCGAGTTTTGGCTTCAATGAGGTACCACATGTACGATGAGGAAGATAGAGCTGATTTGGACCAAGGATTGGGATGGATCACGTTCTTGGCTAAGGGAGAGAAGAGAATGGTGACCTTTAGGCAGCTGGAGATCTTGTTTGGGTTCAACTATGGAGAAGGTAAGTGGAACTTCAAGGAAAAGGAACTCCAAGAGGGTTTGGGCTACAATCGCTGATGGAGTTACTCTTCCTCAAGGTCCAAGGCTGCTCAGATCAGGAGCCCAGTGTTGAGATATGTGCACAAGGCACTTGCCAACACCTTCTTTGCAAGGAAGGCACCGGGACAATCAACGAGGGGGAACTCAAGTTTCTTGACATGGGAATCAAGCCCATCTCTCACGCACAAGCGATGGCAAGAGGATCAGGGAGATAGACACACAGGGAACTTGATGCCTTCCTTGAGCAGCTCCACCTACAAGATCACAGCCTACAACACTCTATCAACAAGAGGAAGAAAGCTAAGTGTTGGAGGGCTCATCACACCTATCTTGTGTGCTGCTGGAGTGAACCCAACTGATAGAGAGCCACTGAACCAGGTTGGATGGACATCAAGTTTTGCAAGACCAACCTTCTCATTGAGCACAAGGAGTTGGATGGGAGGTTCCAATTCAAGTTCACACATCCATTGGCTGGACCCTCCAAGCTTCTCCTGCCCTAACCCAGAGCTCACCACAGTAGTAAGGGGTGAGAACATTGACTTCAGACCCCCTGTGTACACATTAGTTGGGCATGAGGAATTTGCGAGAAGAGGAGCCTGAGCTCGATCGAGCTGAGGATCGAGCTGAGCTCAAGCTGAGGATCGAGTCCAGGAGAGTGCGGATTTGGGTGAGCCTGAGTGCTATTACTTTGAGGAGTATGAGGCTCCAAGGATGAACCCCTCTGTTGTGGCTGCCACAAGAGGATTGGACTTCTCCAAAAGTTCAACAAATGGCAAGGGAAAGCCATTGAGAAGATGCAAAAGTCCATGGACAAGATGGTGAGCAAGATCAAAAGTTTGGAGAAGAAGGTTTCTGGTTCTTCAAGCAAGAAGAAGAAGGCTCCCATAGGAGTAGTTCCACCACTCCTTAGAGAGAAGGAGAAGACAACACGCAGAGAAGGAGGAAGACTTCCAAGGCCAGACGCTCCAGCTCGACCACCGGACTCGATCGAGTCCAAACAGAGGAAACTCAACTCGATCGAGCTGACGGTCGAGTTGACCTGGAGGAGCCCCAGTTCGAGGATCCGGGATTTGAATACGATCCCACGCCTTACCAGGAGCCTCCCCGGAGTAGATGGAACCCCTATGGACAGTACGAGCTAGCCATGCTCCACCAAGGCCAAGGAAGCCACACACACTTTCGATGAAGAAGAGGAAGAAGAGGAGCCGCAAGCTCGATCGAGTGAGGGAACCCAGTGAGTGGAGCGCTCCTGATGGCCGTCTCCCATCTCCAGACCACGACCTAGCCTCCCAGTTCTTTGGGGGACACTGAGGTATCCAAACACCAACCCTTGTATATACCATTTCATATTTTTTGCATTTGTTTTTTTTTTCTTGGTTTTGCCCTCTTGAATCTTTCACTAAATTTTTCTCACACAAGGGACTGTGTGATTTAAGTTTGGGGGAGGGTTCAAGAGATGATTTAACCTTGTTTTCTTTGTTCTTAGTTTTTCATTATCTTTTGCATAGAAAAACCAAAAAAATCATAAAATTTTCAAAAAATCCAAAAATATTTTCATCTTTTTGCATTCATATTTGTTAGACTTGTTTAGGATTGCATTTTTCACTTGCATTGTTGATTTGACTTTGAAAACTTGTCCATCTTTTGCGATTTCTTGAGTGCCCTGTTTTTAGATTCTTTTGTGCATTAGGGTGAGATTGATTGAGCAGCAAGAACCATGTTTATCTTGATCATATCACTGCATGCACATCTCATTCAACCATTGCTGTGATTTGATGCATTTCCCTATCTATTTGAACCATAACTTGATCTTTAATTACCAATGCTTGCATTTGATTTCAACTCATGGCTACCACATACATATCTGGACATTCTTTACCATTTTCATATCCCTTTGCTTGTCCAGATAGCTGATCTCTATCTTTGAGACAGTTACCACACCTTAAACCTAAGCCTTTTCATTTCAAACCCCTTATTATCTCTTGTGCGAATGTGAGAACCTTTCTTGGCTTTGCTTAGCATAAGGTGTTGTGTTTAAACCGGCAGGGGCAGTAGTTCTAGTTGTCTAGTTCTCTTGGGATTGTTTTCAGGCTAAGTTTGGGGGTGCCAACTCGAGCTCGATCGAGTTGGGTGTAAAAACCAGAAAAGTGGTAAAAGTTGGGAAAAACCCAAAGGAAAAAGAGTTTAGTTAAGTCCAGGGAGTTGGCAGTGTTAAAAAGGGTCTAGTAAAGGTTTGGGAAGTTAAAAAAGGAAGTAAAAAGGGTTCTAAGTAGAATGAAAAGAAGGCAAAGCCTCAAGTGTCCAAAAAGGAAAGAAAAGTTCCCTAAGTGTTTAGAAAATCCCAAACCGCTAGATGTTACCTCAAGAAGCCTCTCCCTAGGAAGTTCTTAAAAGAAAAGTGAGCAAAGCTCCTCAGTTTCAAAGGCGAAATGCCAAAAAGGGTAGTTAGGATTTTGTTCTAAAAAGCTCTAAGTGTTGAACTCGATCGAGTTAGGATTAGGACGGCTCGAGCTGCTGTTCTTGCATCATCTTTGGTTCTAACACTTAGCCTTCTGCCAAAGCAAAGCCACTTTCTTGAGAGATCCCTGTTACTAAACCACCATACAAAAGAGACCCTCTTTGTCTCTTAACCCATAAACCCTTGAAACCAAATGAGTTGATTGATCTTGCATGTTTTTGGTTCACTGTTTTTGCTTAATGAATGTTAAAGGGATTTGCTGATTTGAATGCATTGTTTGAGTGACTGTGAAGTGGGATTGATGTTGATAAGCATGGTTAAATCTTAATGAATATCTCTCACCTTGTTGCATTCTAGAATCTCTAAGTTGGACATTTAGCAAATCGCTTTTGAGGACATGTTTTTAAGTGTTGAATCAGCTGTTTTCAAACCTCATCTCTTTCTTGTTCTATTTGTTTGCTTGAGGGCAAGCAAAGTTCAAGTTTGGGGGTGTTGATGTACTTGCATTTTACATAGTTTTAGCACATCTTTTATGCATCTTTTGCATAGTTTTATCCATTTGCATCATATCTTGTTCCTTTTCTCTTCTTATGCATTCATGTTAGTTTTAGGTTGCATTTGCATACATATGCATGTTTGGTCCTTTGAAATAGGTCTTTTGGAGCATTCTGGAGCATATGGGACGTGAGGAGCATGGAGGGACTTGGCACATGGACGCAGCTCAACTGGATACGCAAAGGAAGAAGGGAGAAGCCATCTTGAAGACCAGCTCGACCACTCGACCAACCGGTCGAGTTCCTCAACTCGACCGGCCAAGCTTCAACTCGATCGAGCTGGAAGTCAAAGTCAAACCCGAAAAATGTTGCTTCCCCCTTGACTTTCCTTTGACCCTAAACCTAATCCTCTTTGTATTTAAGGGCTAAAAGCCACGAAAAAACCACCAAGCTTTAGATTACTTTTGTTTTAGTTTCTTTTAATTTATTGTCTTTTACTTTTTAGAGCTCTAATCCCATCTTTGTGTTCTTGAAGCTCTTGCTTCTTGAATCCTAGATCCTGGATAATCTCTTTGTATTTGCACTTGCTTATTTCAATAAAAGTTGTTTAATTTCATCTCCTCTTTCTTATGATGTCTCTTTTATTGCATTTGCTTGTGTTTACATTCATGTGTAGTGAGTAGTTACCCATTAGGGTTTGAGATGGGATAGATTAGAGGTTTCATATGCTTAATCCTTCTAGCTTATGGTCTTAATCTAGATTCTCTCTCTTTTGGATAGATCTTAAGGCTACATGACCACTACCCCTGGCTTGTAAGTCCTTAGGCGATTCTCCACATGGAAGTGATGGAAATTCGCTGGAAAAGATCCACTAAGAGCTCCAATATCTCTTGCTCTAGAAATAGAGGTCTAAGGGGTTGGATGGATTAGTTTGGGCAATGATCCTATGGCCTCCAAGGTTTGATTCTCACTGGCTAACCCCCTGTTTCTGAGATCATGTCCTTTTGTCATCACCTTGGGAAAGGGTTGGCTAGGCATTGAGAAGCCCAATATCAAGAGAAGCCTTGATACAAGGAGTTTTAAGAGCAGATGATTAAGTGTAGCTTCCCTGATTGCAAAACCCTGTCTTGAACCCTAATTCTCTTTAGCTTGTTAAAGTCGCTGCCTTTATTGCTTTTTCTCAACTCGACCCTAAACTCGATCGAGCTGGTACTCTGTTCCAACTCGACTCGAGTCCTTGGTCGAGCTGTTGCTTACTGCTTTCTTTACTTTTACTGCATTGCATTTCATTTTTTAGGTTGTTAGTGTTACCCCAAATCTATTACTGCTTGCTTGACTTCCTGGTTGTTTCATATTCTCATAGAGTAACAACTTCTCCCATTTTGGATTGATACCCTTTATGCTATAATCAACTATCATGGTTAAAGGGAATTGTTGACTGTGTTTGTGTTTGCATCTTACCACCTCATCATATACCACTGTTGCATTCCACCACATCTCATTTCATATCTTTTCACATCCACACACAAATCCAATCATCAGACGGTAATGAAGTAGGACAGCTTGTTTGGCGAGATGAATGGTATGGTCTTGTAAAAGACTGTCTTGTCAACATTGGCTAAGGAGATTCGCCTGTTTGGAAGGTCCATGACAGCTCCAGCAGTGGCCAAGAAAGGTCGGCCTAGTATCCAGGGCGTATCACATCCTCCTTTGATGTTCATGACATGAAAATCCACCGGGATCTTGGTATCTCCAATCTCTGGAAGAACATCAACTACAACTCCTCTTGGCTTGGCTATGGTGTGATAAGCAAGTCCAATACTAATCTGAGCAGGTTGTAAGCGTGTGATGCCAAGGAGTTTGGCGGTTTGGGTTGACATGAGGTTGATGCAAGATCCAGAGTCGCAAAGTGTT